AATACAAAATGATATACGTATTTAACGCTTATTTTTAAATAATAAAAATATATTCTCTTTTCTTACTATTTCATAATTTTATACTTTATGTATAGCTGATATTTTTAGATAGAAAAAAAGTATTGAAATTATATTTGCATGCCTAAAAACATAGAAACGTTAAAAAAGAAGCAGAAATCAAAATAGTCAATTTTTAAATTAATAAAAAATTTGGTCAAATCAAATACTATTGAAATAGAAAATATTTGAAGTTAAAGATTTCGCAAAAAAATATAACCTTTCCCACTTAACATTCTTGTAAAATCAAATATTCTATTTCACTTCATAGAAGAGCGTAGCATAGATTGATATTTTGTCACCAATTTTATATACTCACAAGCTTTCATGTCGCTAGCATACATTTAATTTAACGCTCGTTTTTATTTAACTTAACGATTCTAAATATTTTGTCAATTGTACACTATATTTATGTAGCACCGATTGTTTATATAATCGTCACACATCTGTGATTCAGGTTTAACTATGATTTGTAAAGCCACGTCTTTTCATTAGAATTACAGAAGCGATAATTTCACATTGGTTGACATTACGCCTCTACATAACAGTTCTACATAAACAGTTCGGTGATCGTCAAAGCAGATTACATGAGACATAGCTCTTTCTACATCCATCAGAATTAGTCTATGTCAATCAATAATGTCAATCGGTGATGCTAACCACTTAATGAATCATACTTGGCAAAAGAGATGAAATTGAATCAATCGCAAAATAAAAGCGTACAATTATTTTGATAATTAACAATTTCAAATACCTTCAAAATTATATAGTTTTCATATTTTTTATAAGTTTCTTTTTTAGCACACCTTTTTATTTATTCTTTTCTCATTGCATTGTTTGTTGCATTTTTATTTTGTCATCATTGATAACATCATTGTTATACCATCACGGCCGACGTAAGCAATTGCTTGGAACCCAATGAGAAACTTCAAACTTCGATCGAACGATATAACTTTTTCAATTGATAGTTCATAAGATAGAAATTTCGCAATCGTTTTGTTCAATTCTTGCAATGTTTGAAAAAATGTTTAAAAAATCAAAATTGAGGAAGCTAATCACCACAAACTCATCAAAAACTCATCAAAATATTATATTATTTTACTCTTACTCTAAGTGATGAAGTTGTACATATTTTTATAAAAAATTATACATGGATAAATAAATTTGAAGTTATTAAAAGTATACTATTACGTAAAATTAATATTAATTTATTATAAAATTAAAATTTTTAAAAATATTTATTTATTATCTCTTATTTCAGATTTGGTTTTTGTGTAACCATAAAATACTAGTAAATAGACTTTTAGAATAGTTTTTATAACATATGGAAATGGCAATTGTGATAAACTCATTAATCTTAACTTTTTCTTTAAGATATTGCATTAAAAATATTCTTCATTGCTTTTTTGGTAACATTAAAGTTATGTCACTTTGAACAAATGAAGAGGAAAGTAATAACGAAGTATTTTCCGTTTAATCGACAAGGTTAAACGTAATATCACGAGGATGGCGCGATTTAACGATTTGTCGCTTTCGAAAATTAATTCAATTCTCTTCCACAGCGTTCAATATTCTTGGCATATTCCCGACAACTTCAATTTCCACGGTAATTTCGAATCAAACGCAATTCTCATCGATTTTGCTCCGGGAGGAATGCGTTTCGTTTACAAAGTTTAACGTAAATTCCGACGTGCCACCCGAATTCACGCTACATCGATGATTCCGCAATCGTGCGCTACGGAAGAATCTAAAACGCGTATGAAACTTTAATGTCGAGTCAAGTTACTTTAATATTGTAACTTGATATGCATGAAATGTCTGTGAATTTGTCACAACATAAAGTTCACATGTCATAGCTTATTAGCGTATAAAAACATCTATAAAGATCATACAGAATTAATGCAAATTATTCTGAAAACAAAACGAGATAAAGATGTATATTTATCCTAGTGTCTGTTTTATTGAAGCTGTTTTTACAAGCAACGAGTTCGTAAAATTGACATGAATATAAAGACTGTTCTTTCCAACGTTAGTAAATATTGAATAACGATAAAATTAAGTCAAATCCAAGTATAAGCGATGCCACGTCCTCTTTAGGAAGGGGATTCAATATTTTATGTGTGTGCTGTTTTAAAAGGAAATATCTCATTTATCCCGTATTGAGATAGGGCTAGTGGGGCAAATCAGAAATCGATTGCGACAATATAGGCCATGTAATACTCGAATTGTATGTTACTTTCACACAATGATGACACAATAATGTTTGCAATTTGCTATTGATACATTAGCAAATGACAAAGGGTCCTAATTTATAATTACACAATCGATACAATAGATACAATTGATATTCGCCTAATTATGTTAGCCACATACTTGCATGAAATATATTATAATTATCAAAGCTTAATTTAAGATTGAAGTCTATTAATCGCACATCTCATATTACCTATATTTCATTTAAAGTTATAGATAAATCTGTTTCAAGAAAAAAATAAAGAAAAATATTTGAAACCTATCTTATACTTTTAATAACTATTTGATTACATAACTATTACAAAACAATCTTTTATAAATCTTTAAAAAAAAAACTTAGAAAAGATTAAAATTAATCTAAGCGTAAGAGTGAATTAATTATCCTGGAATAAGTGAATTTTAAAAGTAACTTAATGAAAAAAAAATTAAAATTATGCTTATACTTATAGATAGCCTGACATAAGCAATAATAATTTACCTTTTCATTATTTTATTTCTCTTTAATTTTGATTATTTATTATTATTATTATTATTTTTATTATTATTAATTTATTATTATTATTTTATTATCGTGTTTTCATGATTCTATCGATATGTGTCAGAAATATTTATAACATAAAAGCGTTTATAAATTATAAATATTTATAAACATTTTTATGCACCGCAGCAATTTTTACACGCGAATGAGTATATCATATATAATTTTTATCGTATTTTATTATAATATATAAAATTTATGTTTTATTTACATTATAATTGTAAACTTACATTATAAATAACGATTACGTCAGTTTTCAAAGTAGTCACTATTTTACAATTAATATTTGCTTTAAAACATTTACAAAAATAATATTTAATACAATGTTGCAGTAAAAGATGCTGCTTTTAATATTTTCCTCGTTAAAACTGTGTTACACTGATTTTTATTGATTTTTTTATTATATTTTTGCTATCTACAAACACACACATTTTATTCTATTATTGTATTAATTATTCTGTTATTGTATTATTGTATTATATTCTTATATCTTTTATCACTCAAATTACGAATTAAGTTTAATTATAAAGATTTAAAGAAATGCGCGCGTCCCGTATCTTTTAATGTTTATAATAATTGTATGCGCTTAAAGAGGTATTTTCAAACCGTTATTACATTTTCTTGTTAAGAGTATGCTAGCACGTATTATATACAAAAAAAATTTACATGACAATTTGTTATATAAGACAATTTGTTATATATGACTTTTGTTATATAAGATGCAAAAGCTCAATATTTCATGAGAAGCATAATATTGTGTAAAATTTTTCTCACGAAACATGATGCCATCTGAAGCTCCATGATGCTTTCACGGATTTATCATGGATGTTGCTTCTAAAGAAAGTTCTCGGTCCTTGATCCTTCTGCAAGAATCCCACTTGTCTCCATTATCATATTTTCATATGAAATTGCAACTATATAAGTCAATTACATTACATATTTGGCGACATTTTCAATTATTTCAAATTTTTTATCTCGTGAAGTTTCAATCAATATTATTCCCTTATTATTAATAATTATATCATAATCTCTTATTAAAACTCTGAGTCATTAACTTGTCATCAACTTCGCCTGTGTCGCCCGTTTCTTACATTCTCTAGTCGGTCACAATGATCGATAGTACCCGTTTAAGAGTATAAAAGTAGTTAAACGTTGATATCTTATGACTGTATATCTTCTTTTCAAACAAAAATCAGAAATTTTATTTTTTAATAAAAAATTAAATCATAATCAATATTATTTTATTTATTACAATTTTTATTTTAACTTACATTTGCCAGATATAAATTTTAAGAAATGTTTCTTATGCAATTCGAGCCCAAGTTATTAAATACTACTAATAAATATACTACTAAATATACTACTATATAAATATAAATTTGATCAATCCAGTCGTTTTTGAAATCCAATAATCTCAGCTACTTGCAGTTATGTCGGTTCGTATAAAGATGCACTGCTGATCTCGTGCATGTTTACATCAGTGTTGGTACGAAATACAGTTAGTGTCTCTCGATATAAATAAATAAATCTAAGTTACAAAGTTATAATTAATTGCAAGTGTTGAATGAAATATCTAGTGTTAATAAATCGATAATTTTTATAATTATATATTCTATAATTATATATTTCAAAATTTTAAATATATCTAATGCAAATAATCACATTTCAAAAATTAGGATTTTTATGTAAAGTATTGTAGTAATTTTTTGTAGTAATGCGCAAGTAAATAACTGCAATTGTAAGCGATTAATGTCATCATCTTTGTCATATCTTTTCACTACGACATTATAGATCGCTAAAAGATCATAAGCCTCCAAAATAAACATTATGACAATACTGAGCTAACTTACGGACTGCTTAATTATGTATTATTGTGTGTATGAATTTATGGTTCTATTGCGATATGTATAAAGATGAAAGAATGTTCTCGAAATTTGTATCACTTTTAGCACACTTGCAGTACAGTCACATATACGTTCTTTCTTTCTATGCAAACTGCTTCTTTGGCATACGTTAGGAATTTCGCATAGCTTTATGCGAAATTGCAACTCAAAAGGTATAAATTGCAATTTCATTCCGCAGTCTTGTCTTAAAGAGTTGAAATGACATGGAAATCCGCATGACCTAGTCACATGATCGCAGTGAATAAAAGAACCAAATTTCGGCGGACAACAGGCACGTGAGCTACGTGAGTGAGATAGAGAGCTCAGAAACGTCGACGCAATGGAAACGTGGACAAACGTCACAGTAAAAGAATGTGACGATATTGATGACGTTGCCTTTTGGATATTAAATTCGACTCGATTGACAGTAAAATGTATTATATGCTGTCGATGAAAAGCACGCAAAATTCTGTTTCTGACATTTATAAAAAAAGCTAAAAGATTGTCTTTGTACATTTTACATGCCGTACATCCTCAATCATTTATTACATAGAATTCGATTTTGAGGATTTTGTTACCGTTATAATCGATAAAGACTGACATTAGCGTTGATGAATTGTATCAAAAGCTTTTGTTCTAGAATTTAATTTTACTATTTAGGCTAGATATAAATTGACAATATTGGACTGTCTTTCTATCTTTATTAATAAATATTAGTAAGTATTAGAGATTGCATGATAACATGAAACATTGAGAGACAAAAGGTCAGGAACATCAATTTTATTAATAAAATTTTACTAGTACTTCATGTAATATCCTTTCAATATCTCAAATATCTATATTTTCCATATATGAGTGTCTCTCATGTGTCATTAACGCAAGAATTTTACCGTTTTCAATAATATTTAAAATTTCAAGAATATAACGTACTTTTGCATAACACAAAATCGATATTTTTATAAATATTATTTAATATAATGCTTACCTCTCTATGTATTTATTTTAAAATAATACTTTTAATTAATTTATTTTCGTTCAAAATATTAATAACTGATAACACCAACGTATTTTTAATTTTTAATCTGTTGATTATAAAACCATAAAATTGAAATATGTATTCATATATGCATGTTTATTATTTGTAAAGATATTCGATTGTTTTCGCACAATATGCACACATTTATCGCAATTCGTGTCAAATATATTTAAGTGAAGACAATGTCTCTCAAAGACTGGATTTATCGCCATCGTTAGTGACAGCTCTTTCATCACATCTCCAAATTACTCCTTGCGTGCTCGCAAGAAATTCACCCAAAATATAGAACTGAACAAAAATGAAGATTGTAATCTGATTTATAAAAACAAACAACTGCTTGTATAACCGACATATTGTCTATATCTATGATTTTATTCCATTTATTACGAGAAATGCACGATTCTCCAATAACGTCATATCCCATTAATCCATAACTGTGAACACTTGTCGAAGTAATCGGTGCGAAAAAGATCTCAAATTCTATATTCTATTATAAGCCGCTTTTGTTTATTGATTATCATGCGAGTAGCTGCCGATTTATGGAATATTAAATTATTCTTTTATTTCTTCTAAAGCCGAATAAAATTGTTGATTTAAAACATTCGAATTTCAACATTCGATATCGCGCCAATCATAAAAACCATTTTTATAAAAATATAGAAATGCGAGTATCGCAAAATGAATAACTATATGTCGTTATTGATAAAATTCTACTTTATTGTTTAAATTTAGTATTTAAATAATAATCGTCTAGTTTAATAAAAGTTTTTAAATAAGAGCATAAAAAGAAGATTGATGCGCTTAACATAAATAAAATAAATGTTCAAGCGAATGCTTTAGACATCTTTTTCCTATAACAACCTGCTGAACGTGATGACTGTCAAGATCTTCGTTTTTCATATAAAAACTTCCACTTCGACTTCATGGATCGTTATTTTAAAATAAGAAATAATGCAAGAAAGTAGAATAGACTCAAAGAAGATGCACAAGGAATATTAAGATAAAATATTCAAATATGTAGCAAAGGAAACGGCTGCTGAATTCGTACAATCAGTAAAAAGATCAGCGTATGAATCGCATAGAAAAATATCACTCGATATAAAATGCTATTATTATTGTAGAGGAAATTCTTCTCGGTTTTGTTACGGCAGACTAGTTTTTCGCGTTGAGATATCAAAAATACGCTAGACAGATAAAATGATAACGCAAAATGTGAACAAGACGAACAGACAATTTATTTCAAACTACAAAAATATATACGAGTGAATATAAGGCAGAGCAGAGCAACTAAAAGAATATACTACTAGAAAGCTGCAGTAGTAAATTATTAAGAGAAAGGAATGAAAGCTGCGTGCGTTCAACCGTAATGTCGCTTTTACAGAAAACGCTTGACAGAAAATCAACGTTTGTTTCTTCATTGTAGAACAACAATTGCGAAATATCCATCGCTTATGTCAACACAAAGTATCGTTGACTATTAATTTTGTACATGGTGCAGAGGGCACGCTCGATATGCATGTAATATACTCAAGAAAATGGGATGAAATATACGTTCTTGAATATACGTACTCGATATATGCTATTACAACACGTCGATATTTATCAGGTACAATACCTCGTGCAATATAAATGCAATAAAACGTAACGATGAATGTCGCGACTATTGTATGATATAAATTGAAACGAAATAATCTGATGATAATCTAACCGTGTTTCCGTATCATGAACAGTTAAAGGATACCCGCTAGGATGTCTACTAAGATTATGCGAACATGCTTAGCAGAATTTCCAACATCAGATCTTTTACAGGATAATAACTGAGAATAATGAAAGATATTTCGCGCATAAATCCTCCTAGCCGGATTTTATTTAATCGCTACGGGCAATGTGTGCGATGCCGAGTTTAAATTACTCGGGTTGTCCAATGCCCTAAGGAAAAAGGGAATGGTCAAACTGTTATTCGTCACAGTAAGTCTCGAAACGTCCGTTCTGTTGAATTTCTCTTGAGACGATAAGTAGTAATGCTGCTAATTCTGTCGACTCCGCACGTGTTAAAAGAACTTTTTAGAGAGCATAAGTTTCATTATTTAAACAAAAGCTCAGGGGCAAAACTCAGAGACAAATCAATGCAAACGCGTCTTTTTTTAATGAATTTTCTTTGATTACCAGTTGTCGAGCTCACCCAATCATACTTTCATCACTCTTACATTACATAAATTTCAACAGATTTTTATATGAAAGTTCTGT